TCCATATAGCGGGCTCCAGAAATTCGGATCGGTGGGAGGGACCGCAGGGGTGGTAATCGAGACAAACAAGCAGATTAGGCTAGATGGAAGGTCATGGGAAACCATCACCGAATCTTTCCCCAGGAAGCTTTCGTTGAGATGCAGGCTTCAGTTTAATGGTTGGCCAAACCTAAAAAAGAAGGCAGGATAGATTTAGAAAAGTTTAAAGTATCACAATTATTGCTATAGATTGGTTTAGTGCGCAGGATACGCTCCTTAAACTAACAAATAGTGGGTACCTATAAGTAGGTATATACCTACGAGACAGGGCAAATGCCGAACGACGTAGTACGTAGGCTGATTATGATCCCGAAGAAAGTAGGCGCGGAAAAATGACAACACTTCAGGACAATTAGCTTGCTAGCGCACGCATCAAAAATACTAGCTAAAATAAATTAAACAAATATAGCAAACGAGCTCCTGGGTATGGCTAGCATGTGCAAAACCAAATTTTAAACCTGATGTTAGTTTTGCTTTTACCTATTTAAAGTGTATATGTATGAAATTTCATTTGAATGCCTCCATAAATAAGCTGCACATGTGCAAAACCAAATTTTGAAACTGATGTTAAATTTTCTTTTATTCCAAGTGGCTATGTATCAAATTTCATTTAAATACCTTCATAAATAAGAAAGTTTGTAATTCGGTCTGTAAATGTAAATGTACCAAATTTCATTTAAATCCCCCTATAAATCAGAAAGTTGTCACTGCGCATGCGCAAAACCAAATTTTGAAACTGGCGTTAAATTTACTTTTATTCCAAGTGGCTATGTATCAAATTTCATTTAAATACCTTCATAAATAAGAAAGTTTGTAATTCGGTCTGTAAATGGTCGAGATGCGCAAAGGGCACTGTGAATGCTGATCGATTAGGTTCAACTTTTGGAATTGTGTTTTATATGGCTAAAGCTATGCGCATATTGAATTTCATGCAATTCGGTTCATAACTAACGGAGATGTCAAAAGGGCCTTCCTTATTTTTTGGGCTCCATTGCCAATTCACGAACTCCGATCTACAAATTTGATAAAGAATCCACCTGCAAAATTTCATCGTAATCGGTCCATTCGTTTATGAGTTATCGTGCTAACGGACGGACGGACGGACGGAGAGACACAACAAAATTATAAACGCGCTGGGAGCTCGTTAATAATCTATGACTAAAGGAGCATAGAGGAGAAGATCAAAGGGAGGCTGTCGGATGACCAGCTGGAGTTTAGGAAAAATGATGGCACGCGCGAAGCTACCTATATTAACGCTTAGCACAATCTTAGAGTAGAAGTTACTAGGAAAACAACTTTCGTAGCTTTAGAAAAAGCATTCGATAGGATTAATTGGAACACTATTAGGATAATGAAGGAGGCAAAGATAGCATAATAAAGCTGGGAGGATAATTTACACCCGCTACAAGGAACAGAGAGCGGAAACGTAGAAGGCAAGGAGGCGGAAGCCAATGTGCAGATGGGGACTAGACAGGACGGCGCTTTGTTGAGGAGAGAGCTAGGATAGGAAAAAGATCCGAATAGGAAACCACACTTTAAAGCATGTAAAGTAATTTTTTGTACTCATTGAATGGAAAGATAATGTTTCCAAGCATCCTCGATGCACGGGAAAACGACTTTCCCGCATCGCGGTGTTTTTTAGTTTCCGCTGGACAGAAGGGGTTATCCGCGTTCTTCAGTTGGTAGTACTTATTGAAGTCAACGAACGTCATGTCATGGTTAACTGTCATCTGCTGTAAAATCAATTAAACCGTTGGTTGAGGGTATTTAGTGCGATTAATCGGAAACAGACGTACACTAAGTTTTACGTAAATATATAAACAAGAACTTATAACGCAATCAAATTATTTTTCAGAATTGGAACTCAAGAAAAAGTAAAATTTATTGTTAAAACGTCTTAAAATGTGACCAGTGATATTCTGCAACTATTCGCATATGCAGTTTAAGAAAGCACATATTAACACACACAAAGCTTCCAAGGATTTTAAATGTAACGAGTGTATTTACGCAACTCAAGATATTCAGTGCAAACGATGCAATGCCGTGACCAGTAGCACTCATTGCAAAGGCAAAATATGTATTAACCAAAGATGTGGAAGTTTTAAATGTGACCAGTGCATTATTAAAAGTGGGTAGTTACAAAATTATGTTACCAACCAAACATATGATTGTGTTACCAACTCATGATTAAAAAAAAGCTAATTTACAAAACTTTATTAATTTTGACCTTTTTTTACGCAATTCGTTACAAAAAATATTGTACCTAACTCTTTCGGAAAGAATTTTCCCGCATTCGCACTAAATGCAGCACTCCCTACGGTCGTGCTGCAAACAAAGTGCTCATGCGGGAAAATTAACTTGCCGAACTTGTTAGGTAAATAACTATTGCAATTTAGATACCCAGTAAGGTTAGGTACACAAGACAAAAGTAGACATTCGAAGTGTAGTGCTATAGAAGGATAATGAGGATGGACAGGATAACAAACAAAGTCTTGTGGAGCTAGTACAGGAAAATAGGGAAATGTGGCAAAGTTGGCATATTAAAAAAAGGTCTATTCTTTAATAGTACTTCACAGAAAATAGTGCTTTCTTTCATAAAAAGTGGTCCTCTTAGTTCTGTAGACGCACGTCACTGTAAAAAAATTCATTTACTTATAAATCTTTAATGATTTTTGGTACAATAAATTGCTTTGACGTAACTAACAAAAGAAGTTTTTTTTAACACGAAGTAGTGAAACCATCAAATTAATTAACACAACTATGTTCTTTACTTTCAATTTTTTTCTTAAATTTGATTAGTATACTTTTATAACGCTAGGTAAATACAAAAAAGTGTGATTTTAAGAATTCTAGAAAATGAAAACTAGTTGTTGCCATTAAAAATGCCACTGACCACAAATGTAAAGTATGTAGATTGGTAGCAGGTGTTCCAAACAAAATGTTCACCTTGTATATTGCACACTACTACTTTTGACACATCAGGATTATTAGGGAAAGAATTGGTTCCAAGATGGATCAAGTAAATTTTCATGGAGAGAAGGAGGCACAGTTAGACAGTCACCTACGCCGTAGTCATTGGTAAGACTATACGACTGAATAGTTAAAATGATAATGTGTAATTGCATGAGAGTTGTTTCCTTTCTGGCGGTATTAATGCAATCGTTGTCTTGTCTGGCACTTTTTTTTCAAATGCTCGATTTTCAACTCAAGTCAGGTACGGTCAAAAATCATCATGCTACCTACTTTATTTTGATGGGGGCAGTGCTTTTGAATTGCGGATCTGACCTGACTTGCCAACAACTTCACTCTCAGATCTGATTAGACCCGCGGGCTCTAGGTAGGTACCTACTTGATCCGCGGACCGTGATCTCGAAAGTGTTGTGTCTTTAAAACATCATATTAAGTAGGTATGTTCCTGAATAAGACAGTCCATATATTTATTTTCATAAGTGAAGCATTTTAGTCACAGTCACAGTAATTAGACTATAACCTGGTATAAATGGTAAAAAATGCCGTTTTGAAACTAAAAAAATTCCGACTACTGACACAAATGGTAAAAATGACTTGCATAAGAAAAAACAAAGTTGAGCATAGTTAATCGGAGACGAAATGTCAAGACTAAAAGTTAAAAACTAGCATTTTGTAGAGGGATAAAAGTGGCCATAATCATGTGTCATTTATTTTAAAATATATTTTTCAATATCTTCGGTAATAAATAAAAACGATTTTGCAAAATTTCGTTTTTTTTCAGGATATCTCTGGAAGTAGTAGGAATTTTTTCAGTTTCAAAACGGCATTTCTTAAGGATCAAAATACGCAACTTTGCTAAATTTAAACTACCTGCCTATCTCTTACAGTTTCCGAGATCCCCAGTGTGGCCCTCGAATTTGAATGTCTGTATAGGAATTAGAATTCCAATAAATGATCAAATGTTAGGGAATTCTGTGCCTTTTCCGTTCCAATCTTTCCACCCTTTACACCAAGAAGTTTCATTTCCTCTAAAAACGAAAAGAGTATGCGCTTGATCATACTTCCTGTGATAGGTACTATGGGTTGACCCTAATCTAGTTCCTCCTTACAAGGTCTCTACGATATAATTCTTCACTCAAAGCTATTCGCTCAGCAGGAGCCATTGATCATAATACCTAGTTAACTTTATATTATACCTATAGGTATAGGTATATTAACATGGACAATGCTGATGTATGATATCGAAAAGTTCCAGCTTTAAATTTTTAATAAAGGTTTACACATTGGAAAGTGGCATAGATATATTTAGATTTTTACAATCCTATATTTATATATACCTACCTACTTACATATTGATTCATTAGGTAGGTACCTAACTTACTTAGTGCACTAGGTTGAATAATAATCGCTCAACTGGATAAGCTATTGGTATGAATTGATTATAAATAAAATATGCACTCAAACTGAAAGGGCGACTTGGTTTCATTCACCCTATGCAAAGTAGGTAGGTAGGTATCTACCTCGCACGGATATATGTTAGGTGAATTTCAAGCAGTTCCAATTCCTTATTATGAATATACTTACCTATCCTTTAGCTCAAAGTAATTAATGACTCTATATGCATATATAGGGGTACCTATATACTTCATCTGCATGCATAAAATTATCGTTGTAATTTATCCCCTCAGGTGATCTCTAAATGAGGAAATCTGTGAAAAGTTTTGTTGTTGGTCTAACACTATACTAACTTATCTGGTTTACAGATAATTATCCCAACTTTACGAACTTAACCTCCCGGTAAACATCCTGTAAATGCGCAATTTCCTCTCTTCCGAAATCCCGCATAAATTTTCCATAAGAAACGTATGCAAACGTAAAACGTGTACCTATAGGTATGTTCCACTTTGCCCGCATGAACAGAAATAAACATAATCTTTAATATACCTATCATTCCTACTAGGTCATGTCTAACTTTAAAATATTTTTTTCAGTGGCAAAGGGGCGGCTCCACTGAAACAAGCCGCGCGACGACTGCTTTTGGGTAAGTTATACATAGAGAACATACCCACACCACCCACTTTTCATTCGAATGGATAATGTATATTCATCCCTCATTTTGCCGCATTACCTCCAGACAATTGATTACTTACGTTAGACTAAGATTTACTCGGATTTTGCAAATGATTTTGTTTATATGACCTACATTTTGGGAAATCGGTATGATACATTTAGAACATTATTTTTATTCTTCTCTTCAGTATGTTTACAAGTTGCAAATTTCGAAACGGAATTATGATAATGGTCTGACCGGCAATGTCTCTAATAATAATAAAAGGGATAAGTGGTCAGGGACATATTTGACAACTAACAAATATCAATAATATCCATGTTTTTAAAGTGCGAGCTTTCGTACGAAACTATCTTTACATGATCGTTTAAATTGGATATAGTTTTAACTTCGTATCTACTCACACAGCTAATTTGAACAAAAATCCTAGCAGTCTCAATCGTAATTTTCCGGTTAACTAGCATCAGATAATAATTTTAAGCCATTTGTGATACGTTTATTATTTTAGCCAGGTCTAAAGACATCAGTAGGTACTCAAGGCCCAGGGGGATATAACGTAGGTATATAAACTACCGTGCATGTGTACGCGGTGATAATTCTTCACCCACATTAACTGCTTTGACTTTAATTTTGTACATGCAGGGATTTGCTGCGCTATATTTGTTGTTTTACTATATTTGAAAGCGATTTATCGTATTATTCTTACCACAAATATATTTTGTGTTTATCTGGATCCAACAAATGAGGGGTACAAAATGTATACAAATTGGGACAATAGTAATGATTTGTTTCAAGATAAAATAAACGTGCACCCTCTTATCACCAAAATAAATAACATAGTCAGGCAAATTGCGATGGTAATTGCAAGCGGGAATTTGTGTGCAAAACTTTTGAGTAATTTTAATCAAACGTGGGATGTGTGTAGACGTATGCCTATACCTACAGGGTGGACTTCTACCTACAGACTGTGCCAATTATAGGTATATTATTGGTAAAATTAGACACAGATGTATAGCGCCATTTAACATACATTGCTATAGGTATTTAGTTTGCATTTTAAATTTGTCATTAATAAATCGTAATGACCTATAAAGTCATTGTCATCTAAATTGCTTTAACTTAATTCGTGTATACAAGTAACTTTTTAGCGCATTTTCCAACGAAGTCGACTGCGCTATATTGCAGCCACTTTCTCTGTCCGTCCGTCTGTCCATCTGTCCGTCTATCCGAAGCCTTAACTACTTCTACAGTTTTCAAGATACATATTTAGTTCGTTCTTTTTGCATTCGGTAGCGTATTGCTCTGGCACCTTACCTAAGGGAAATTTTGACGATTAAACTGCGCATACCAAAAATGCTTTTAGTAAAAGCAAACGTATCGTATAGGTATTGCAAAAATCAGATTAATATGCGCCTGCGCAGGATGTCTTATTTATCGCCATATCTTTTTTTAATCACAGATGTTTCTCTTAAAGACAAACATATCTGATATTGCAAACATGAAATTTCACCTTATATTCCTCCAATAAAGAAAAACATAACGCACATAGCTATGGCCTTTTGGGAAGTACAGATCAGCCTTAGGGCGAAAACCTTTCTACTTGTTTTTACTATATTCTCTATTGGAGGGGATCATTTTCAATACATGTAGAGACACTTTCCTTAGTTTTTCTAACATTTTGGCAAGTTATTTTCAAGTAATTCAAACCTTCCTCAAGTTCGTCTCTTTCATGTTCTTTTATATCCTCACATTTTCCTCGAGTCAATCTCTAAAATTTCTTCTTCAATTTAGAATTTAACGGTAACTATTTATAATTTCTTATACACTTTTTAATGTACAGTTTCCAGCTCGGCCTGAGGATGACTTTTTGTCGAAATCGATCGCCGTCAGAAATAATAAAAACTGTTTGAGTTTCAATTTCACTTCATTTTTCCATTAATTCTTCAGGTTAGTTTAATTTGCGTTCAAATATCTTCCTAGTTCCTATATTAAGGTTCCCAACGAATTGTTCTCAATTTCTTGTCACTTTTTCGTTCACTTCTTAACTTCTTCTTTTCAACCTTTTCATAAACCAACTTTATCTGAAGCTCCCATACAGCATTCTTTCAAAGTTTCACTAAAGTTTTTCTCAATTTTTTCTTCAAATAGGCGCATTATGTGCAAAATAACAATGCATCACAGCATGGGGAAATCGGAAACCATATGAGATACAGTCGGTTAAATTAGAAAAAAGTTGCGTATTTTATATGGATTAGTAAATTGATGTTTTAAAAATTCGGAAATTCTGATCCGTTCCGAAGATATTCGAAAGAATCCGCAATTAAATAACTGTATTCGTTTTTATTTTTTGCCCCCCCCCCCCCTCCCCATGATTCAGTTGTATTTTTTTTAATTCATAGATACGTAAAATTAATACTTATTATAATTAATTTCTTAATTCTCGAACTCAGAGTAAGTTTGAATCTGAATATAAACGTAGGTACCTATATTTTGTGGGATAAGGTAATTTTCGCTGTGCATAGTATGAAGTGAGAAAAAGGTTTGTTTTTAAATTTTTTACATTAGTACGTACCTATAGTATAGGTGTTGACAAAATTTCAAAATAATTCATTGATGGCTGTAAAAAATGCTACTCAGTACAGTAGGTATGTACCTACCTATACTTTTTTCCCGGTTCATATAAAAGTAGGTACGAAGTGGATGAAATGATGATGATCGTGGACACCATCTTGTCAGCTTAAAAAACGCGTGTCTTTGATATCTTTGCAAACACATGTGTCAGAAAAAAAAATTTCGTTATTTCGGTTTTTTTTCGAATAGGTAGGTAGATAGATACCTACCTATACCTATACCTTCGAAACTGATCGGAATTTCCGAATTTTTAAAACAACAAAATACGCAACTTTTCTTTAATTTAACCCACTGTGTTCCTATCTCTGATATGGTTTCCTATTTCCCCATGCTGTGCTTTCTTACCTATAGGTACAATTTCTTTCAAGTTCGTATAAAAAAAGGAACTTTGTCCCCATTTAACTCACCTGTATCTCTCACCGTTACGGAGATCCCAATGGTGAGCCACGAATGTGAACCGCCCTGTATACATAACAAATTTGAAGTAGATTTAGTTTCAGATAATTGATATTTCCAAGACTTTGTGTAGGTACCAAGAGAGGGATAATAAATAAATCAATAAATAAATAAAATAAATGTAGTTATACCTACCCTGAATTTACTTGTATTGAAGGTACCTAATTGTGATAAAATATAAACATTTCAGGCCTTACATTTACATATATTACAAGGAACAATATAGGTATAGGTATATATGGATTATTTGAATCAAACTTGAAACGAATACTAAAACGTTAGGATAGCAAATGAAATGTCATCAGCAGAATGAAAATTGTTGGTTTCTATAGGTAGACTCACCTATACCTAGTAGGTAGGTAATATAACATGTACCTAGTAGGTACCTATTTATTTAAATATACGAGTACTTATAGGTAGGTACCTAGTTAGTCTCAGTTAAAACCTTGTCTTTGTACCTATGTGTATGTATATAGAGACCTATTTAATAAATGAATTGCTACTGAAATAGCACAGAAAAGTCGCCAATCGCATCAAATTACCTTCCCTATAACTAGAGAAGATGCCAAAACTGTAACAATAAATTATGTCCACTTAATTAATCGTTACAAAATATTTTGTATTACATTTTTCAAATTTTTACTGTTAGGTATAGTTCTTACTGCATAATGTAAGTAGATAGATAGGTAGGTAGGTAGGTACCTATGCGATGAGTGATATCCTAGGTATATTAAATAATTAAACATAAGTATACTTGGAGTGAATGTTTACTGTAGGTAGGTACATAAAGCTGGTTTTCTAATATATTTTTTAAATAAATATCTTTAACCTTACCGTCTAGCCTAAATTGTTGAACGGTGTAAAACAAAATGGCGTGATATCGATGGCGCAGGGGTGTGCGCATGCCCCATTGTAACAGAATCTTAATAATCTATTTAACGTGGCTTTTTATGTGTAGGTATATAGCTTTATAGATCATAATAGGTAGCTGCAAAATGCCTATTGGGTACCTACCTACCTATACAAAATAAACTCAGAAAAAACCGTCTTTCACACGCAGCTCAGAATACTCCTTTTAATGCACTTACTGTAATCCATTTGGATACATTTTTTGCAAGTTGATACTTTCCAGTTTCTAGTCGTGCACAGGGTTCTGTAATCCTCCATTTGTATATAGGAGATAAATACGTACCTAGCTACATGTTAAAAGTTGATTTTTTTAAACGGAACAGTATATTCTTTAAAATCCATTTTTGAATTTTGTGGCAAATTTTACGCATAGGTACTTAGGTAATAGGTACATGCAAGTACTTAGGTTGTTGACATTATTTAACAAAACGTTGGTATAATGAGTTAAAGTATAAGTAGGTAGGTAGGTACCTATAGGTACACCGCATCAATCTCCCATAACTGCAATATCGCGGCCTCTTCAAAACTTGTAGGTAATAATTCGTCTATTTTTTAAAATCCCTTTAATTATGAGTGTGATGTATAAATGATATTTTGCAACTTTATAGTTTAAAAACAAAGTTTATATCCTTGGGGGCATCGTTTTTTAACAGTGACACACATTTTGATGTTTTGACGACTTTGCCACTTTCTTTAAACATCATAAACCGACTTATTTCATGCGTAGGAAAGTGTTGTCGCGTGTACGGAAGCACAGAAGCATTCAAGATTATGTTGTGTGAATACGGTGGTTTTTTATGGGCCGTTGTATATCTTCTAGCATCGTATAAATCTATTATCTCTCTTTAAAAATTGCGTCGGTAATGAATATATCTCATAAAACTGTCGAAAACATTTCATTCATGGTGTCTACCGAGAGTTGTAAAGTTGTAAGTAATATCAAACCCATCCGAAATTAGTAGAATGTCCTACATTTACAAATTACACTATAACGACCATAAAAACGCAATAAACGCGGCGAATAAAACGGTTAAGGCAGGTCAGGACGCGGGTCGTAAAACACTGTTATAGTCAGGAGTCGTACGCCGTAAAAGCACCGCACCCAGTATTTTATAGACATCGGCCTAACAACACTAGTTAGTAGACTTCCTTCCGGTTTAGTTGTGAAGTATCTGCGACCTTGAACTTGATTTGTTATTATTTATTTAAATCATAATTAGGTGATATTCTAGTGTGGGTTCAGAAATTTGACATGGAGGTTATCGCGCCAATCTGAAAGTCAAATTTTTCAAGATGATCTTAATTCGTTGCTTAAAGTTTAACAAGTTAGATATTATAGTCATTTTACCACTGAGTTCATCAATTTTTGCATAATAGGAAGTTGTAAATAATAATATTTCATTTAGTGACTGTTTACACCTACACACGTCAACAACCTGTTACTGATTGTCTCAGACAGTATTTCATTGACTCTTAAAATTTTACGAGGCATAAAAGTAACCGTTTATGAGATACTTTCACAGCACCTAGACTATGGCTTTTAGAACGCCGGTGGTTGCACACCTTTAAGTGTGAATTTATAAATGCAATTGAAGCCATTTTTACGAATCTAATTATAAAATATAGGTATGCGTTGGCAGCACACGTCAGTCACCAGAAGCCAGAAAAGTAGGTTCTCCCTTTCTTATTACTTTTATTTAAAAACGTTCTATGTAAATTCCTTACATTTATTTTTACCTTGGAATAAATACTTGAACTTCTCTATTTTCCATGTCAATAATTGGCTTGATTGCTTTATTTTGCTTCCCCTCCAGTTGCGTGGGTGTATCTTATTGATATTATGGACCGTCCCAAATCGCGATGGCCGACCGGGGAGAGCTTAAATTCTACTGATTGGTTGGTTGAGGGATAAAAAAAAGGCAGAGCTTTCCAACCATTTATTATGTAAAATGTGGAGAAACCATAATGGCAGTTCAGCGTAGGGCCAATCAGAATTTTCGACTACAAGTTTAGTTTGGGTTCTGCAGGATGCCATAGAAACGATCCGCGTGAGTGTACGTAGTTCAGCTTTGCAATAACAGAGGGTAGCACAGAATGAAGCGGTTCCTATTTGAACTGAAGGGTAACTTTTTGTAATTACCGTGTAATCGTAAATGAAAGATTTACGTAACTTTATTATAGGTATACCTAGTAGACTTGGATTAATGTAAACATAAAGACGGTACCAGGTACTTGTGGGGCACGTGAGCTATACCTGACTAATAATTTTCCGTTAAATCGATGACAGAAGAATGATTTAAACTGAACGGACGATTAAATCAATAAATTGTACTTTATAGCGGTAGCTAATACGGGTTTCTATACGAAAAATTAATCTCTCGCGCTTTTTCCGCATTGCGCCCCATCTAGCGCAAACGCCTAGGTGGGTATACAAACCTTCACGCACTTTTTTACCACCTCTATTCTCCATCAATCACACTGACATTTAGTTTTCTGCTTTTCATAACTCATCATGAATTTAAAAAGACGGAACATGTTTTTTTATTGCTAGTTTATGTTTCTAGAATCCGTTTTAGACGTTAAGATAAATATTATGAATTCTGACGGGTTTTTAAGGGGATGTAAACACTTGTTATTTTCTAATCCAAAATGTTTTGCTATTTTTCAGAATATTCGGCCATTTCCTATATGTTTACTTTTTAATACCTACAACCGTGTTTCTACTTATAGAAAATGTACCTACATACCTACCTACACCTAAGACTGAATGATGGGATTAACTTTTAATACGATCCTTACAATTAGATTAATTAGAACAGAAACACATGTTGATTCCATTATAAACGTTTAGTACCTATATAAGTCGGTAGGTAGGTACCTACTTAATACTTATTTCAAAAAATGTACTTAATTTCCATGTCTAATATAGCTAACACATAAAAGCTGATTTTGTGATGTCCTACGAGTTAAGAGCCGAAACCAATCAGAAAAGCAATAATGTTAAGTTTCATATATGTAACCAGTCTGTAGTTTTTATGTATGTTATGGTTCATTTCTTTAGTTGACAACGTTACAAGTCTTTGCTGTCATAAAAAGTTTTACATATATAGCGGGTTGGTTTCGGAGTAATAGTCTTCTAAAAACTGTTGTTTTCTTGTAGCTATCGCTCAGTTTAAATTACAACAAAGTGCTTTCTAATTTTAGGAAAAATGTTAGGGTTAGGCTGAATTTTTAAGTTCACAAAAATATACGATAAGAAGGTTATTCTGTTTTCCTCTTTACACATTAGGTGGAATTTAAGAAATTTTACTTTTTAAAAGGATTTGTACCAAATAAATAACTACTGAAGTAATAGGTTCACTGTATTTTTTATTTTCTTATTTACGCTTTACTAATTTTTGCTGTCGAGTCACCTTTGGAATTTTTGTTTACTTGGAAAATCGTATAGGTACCTACCTACTTAACTTGAACTTCCAAAGGCGACCCGACAGCAACTCATATTTTTGATCGCTCGTTATACCTACTCTTGGCAACTCCAGTCTGAAATCTGTCCTATTGAGGTTGTCCCTTTTTTCTAAGTTGGGCTAAATTTTGAAATACACAATTCAGTAACTCAAAATTATACCTACTTAGGCACCTACTATCAGTAACTTTTTTTTAGCTATATGAGATTGATACATTAGCATAGGTACCTAAAGGGAGCATTTTTAATCAAAATGTTCAAATCAGAAACATAATTGAATATCTATCAGGTTACTGCGATATCAATTTTGAATCTAAATTAAAATTTGGTAAAAAAAACTTTAACACAGATTCTATCATCATTTATATAGAAACGAAGCAACAGGGTATTGAAAATTGTTGCTTTCTCATTGAAAATTTTTAAAATCCACAAACAGAAAACTGTGCTAAAGCGGGCATTTTGAAAAATGGCGGTTAAATACGGGATTTAGGTATTACTTAGTCATTGAGTTTCGGAAAAATTATTTTTAACAAAAGTTGTTTGTTATGTACCTATTTATCTACATCTTTTGTTACTAGATATCACTTTTTTTGTGTGCCCACCTATATTTTCATAAACTGCTGCTTTGCATAATTGTTGTATGGACCTTAAATAATGATTTGACCCATAGTTCCTGAAATTTCATCCCTTAGGATTGCAATTTCAGGGCGGGGGTTCAAGTTTCATGTGAAAAATGTTGGAAAAAGTAAATTTAGCCACCAAGGCCTGTTTGTAGTCACCGCCGCAAGATTCTAACCTGTGGAAAGCAACGCAATGCAATGGTCAGAATTTCCGAACAACCACCGGAAGTCATGATAGACCTCCATTTTTAAAAATGACCGCCAAAAAGTGAAACTTAATGCTGAGCCCAAATGTTGGAGTGTTGGGTATCATTTCAAATGTTTTTGAGGTCTCTGAATACGTCTGTTGCCACAAAAATACGAATAAACACACCATATGGCCTTTCGGCCGCGATATAGAGAAATATCGAATAGGCAGTGGATGGCAAGTTTTATGAAAATAGGATGTGGCTAGGCAAGTTTCAAGTTTTCGAAATTAATGATAACATATTAACGTATGTATTGATTTTAATGTAAATTAATTTCTATTTGTGGACATGTGCATGTCGGTGCTAATCATATCGACATATGCCGCATTTATCCAAAGCTCTGCAAGAACTCCAGATCTCGGGGTGAAGTGTCCAGAGCGGTTTCCACTGGTCCTTCTCCTTAGTCCAGCCCCACATTGCTGGTGTTGGGGGACTGCAGCCTGCCCCAGATGTGGCCTGCCTGGTACGCAGACCGTTCGACGTGTTGCACCAGGGCACCACGATTTGAAGGGATAGCGCCTACGTGCTTATGCTGTGTAGCAAAAAGGTGTTTCAGCGCCTGATCAACACTAGTACATGAGCCATCCCGCACACCGTATAAAGATTGTAAACCTTTACAAAGCTTGCATGATCTCAGCGTCAGATTCTTCATGTAGTGGCCAAGCAAGCCTGCCGAATGCACCTATGGCCGTTTCGTCCTGCCACGCAGCCCACGCTTAACGCTTCCCTTTGGATCCAAAGAAAGACACCGTGTCGCAGCCGGTGTACGCATGGAAACCTCTCAATGCGACTGATTTCGCCTCTCCGAGACATTGAGCAATGCCATGCAGACTGATGTAGCGACGATGGAGTCCAGATCCAAAGAGAACATATAGTTCTTTGAACCCCTTCTCTTTCAGTTCGAAGAAGAACGAAATCACCAGGATCAGAACATCGGTGTCAGTGCTCCGGATCACAACACGTTCTGCACCGTGGACCACCATATCCTTGGTGTGCAGGATGATGCGGCCATCAGCTTCCTCCTTATGTCTGCACGGAACACCGTGTAGGCTAGTGGAACCATGTAGACGAAGAGCGTTTCGTCCAAGCAGATCTAGAGTTCTTACAGAGTTTTGGATAAATGCGGCTGCCCAACGGGCTGCAAGACGTAGCGATGCTGTTGCCGCCGGTTCCAACTGCCGTGTATCTTGACGTGCAGAAAGTGCAAAGGACAATGCTCTAACCAGACAGAAATTGACCCCGACCAAGATATTGAGGATATGTCGATATGATTAGCACCGACATGCGCATTAAAATAGAAGTTAATTTACATTAAAATCAATACATACCTTAATATGTTATCATTAATTCGAAAACTTGAAACTTACCTAGCCACATCCTATTTTCATAAAACATCCATTGTCTATTCGATATTCTCTATATAGCGGCCGAAAGGCCATATGGTGTGTTTATTCGTATTTTTGTGGCAACAGACGTATTCAGAGACCTCAAAAACATTTGAAATGATACCCAACACTCCAACATTTGAGCTCACCATTAAGTTACACTTTTTGGCGGCCATTTTTAAAAATGGAGGTCTATCATGACTTCCGGTGGTTGTTCGGAAATTCTGACCATTGCATTGCGTTGCGTTCAACAGGTTAGAATCTTGCGGCGGTAACTACAAACAGGCCTTGGTGGCTAAATTTACATTTTTCACATGAAACTTGAACCCCCGCCTGAAATTCCAATCCTAAGGGATGAAATTTCAGGAACTACGGATCAAATCATTTTTTAAGGTCCATACTACAATTATGCAAAGTGGTATGCTTGCATCATTAAATGCACCATTCCTATGAAAATCGTCGTGTACCGCCAGCACTATAGGTATAGGTACACGTTAAGAATATTGAATAGCCGCCGTACTGGAGGAAGTGACGCCAAAAGTCAAATGCCTTGCTGTTTCGATATGATGCTATCATATTGAGACGCATGTATAACCATACATATTCATTACAAAATTTCTATCGGTTATAGTAGGATTCAAAAAATGTATCTTCACTGATTTCAGAAACAATATCGCAAATAGTTATAGGTAAGTAAGTGAGTCTATTTACATTTTGTATACGGACTAAAAGTACGATACCATTTAAAGCAGCTATCGTCGATTGCACAAAAAATGGTAGGTACCTATACCTATGTAGATAATTAAATTACATTATAAACATGTTTTTTTTTAAAATTAAACAAAAATTTATTAAACAGCTTTTTATGGTATTAAAAATGGTAAAAATTGTAATTCTTCATGGTCAAAGGGGGTATATTTTTTTTTAATTAGCAACCACTAGTTTTCATTACATATTCTCGAAGGATATTTTTTTATATAGTACCTAGCATAGCTATTGCGATCACCATGTTTTAGACATGTCAAAATCTCATTAATCTCATCAAATGTCAACATTTTGCTGTTAAACTTTTAAAGAAAAACATTTTTTCGATCTGTGTGTACGTACGGGCGTATACGTTGACTATTTTCCGAGGTAACGGTTCGACTAATTTTATTCAAATTTTCGATACCTATGTATATTAGCCATACACGGAAACGAAAAATAACGGGCCAGATTTTTGAAAAAAAAAACTTTGGAGCGCTGCAATGGCAATGGCATTGAATTTTTAGATATATTAAATACCTTATTTTTCCGTCTATAATAATCTACGAAAGTTGTGCCAGGTTTTATTACAAAAAACGAAGAAATATACCTAAATGTCAAAGTTATGACTTAAATATTTTTTTCGCCAAAACTAAATTAAATCTAATTAGGAATTACGATTATTAATTATATGCATTGAATAACGAAATTAGAATGTTGCCATATGTGACATTAAAATAAAATCTAAAATCAATAGACAACCATGGGTAAAAAATAAAAAAAAAAGGTACAACGGCACGTGGTGTTCCGAAGCGGCCACTCATCCACAAGTACTGATCACGCCCGACGTTGCCGAATGTTGCTGATTGGTAGGGAGTGGGCTTTTTGTTCCCACTTCCTGATGGGCCTTTTGGGGTCCAGTCCAACACTGGCACACTCAAAGACACAACCGTTTTCCTCAATTTCAATTTTTCGCTTTAATTTGATTATGTAATAATATACATAGGTATTACTTTTCCCATCTGTTGTAGGTACCTACCCAAAAAGGTACCTATACATTTTAAGGATTGTGGAATGAAAACTAGCGGTTGCCATTAAAAAGATAAACCCTCTTGACCATGAAGAAGTACACCACGCCACTGACCACAGATTTAAAGCTCGTAGATTGCGGTATAGCAAACGTCTTATAGTTTTGGATACCATAAAGAGCTTCTTTAAAAAAATCATTGTTTTAAATATAAATTCAGTGTTCCAGACAACACTTTCAACCTGTATAATCATGATTCGTTTTGACACTAGGTATAATGAAATATGTAAGCAAATATAAGCGACTACTAATATACTACCTACAAATGATTATGCATTGTAAACTCTAGGTACATGTGGCATTAGCCAGGCCATTTTCTATAATCATCTAAATTACCAATTTTGTTACTGTTAACGTATTACTAATAAATCAAATTACTTACTTTAAATGCCATCCTCAATATTTTATCCTGTCAGCAGTTCACCCAGTGGCGCACCGCCTGCAGCTAGATTATCTAATTAAATTAAAGGGGTGTCTGTAAATCATCTGTTTCTATCTCCGTTGTTATTTAACAATTAAGATCTCTTTTACGCACGCTAACCCGTTTAAGTCCTAAAGGGATCGAATGAGTGAGTACCTACCTACGAAAGTAACTGTATATGA